GGCCGGCGCGGGGCGCGCGCGGCTGGGCTCGGCTGGGCGCGGAGCGGGCGGCGGGGGAAGATGGAAGGAGCGTCCTTCGGAGCGGGCCGGGCGGGGGGGGCCATCGACCCCGTGGATTTCCTCAAGCAGCCGCAGACCCTCATCCGAGTGACCACCTGGGTAAGGCGGAACGGCCGCGGAGGCGCGGGGCTGGGCAGCGGCGGTGCGGGGACAGCTCCCGGCGCAGCGGGCAGTGCCGGGGCGATGGGCAGTGTCCGGGCGTTGGGCAGTGCCGGGGCGATGGGCAGCGCAGGTGCATCGTGCCCGCAGCCTGTGCATGGTGCCCGGTGCCCGGTGCGCTGCCGGTGCCCGGTGCCGGTGCGATGCCGGTGCGGTGCGGTCCCGGTGCGGTGCGGCAGGTGCTGCCCAGCCCCGCGGGCCGAGCCGGTTCTCTGGGAGGCTGGCAGCGAGTTTCCTCGGGAATGGGGCAGGGAGCGGCGGGGGAATGCGCCGCTGCCGCTCTGCTGGTCGCTGCTGGAGGATGGGGTTCGGAGCAGGAGGCAGAGGACATTTTCCTGCCTTCCACGCTCCGTGCATGCGTGTGTGTGACAGAAATCCGGGAGCCAGCCCTGCCCAGCTCCCCGTGCTGCTGGAAGGATGTCATGTTTTTTTTTTTTGACGTTTCCCATCTGAGTTGCCCCCGTGGAGCAGGAGCAGGAGGTGGAACGGGCTCTGGTGGCCCGTGGAGCAGCACAGGGAGCTGTGCCAGGGCGCTMCTGGGGCCGTGGTGCCTGGATGCCCCGAATTTACCTCCCCAGCCTAGCTCCTTGCTGAGATCTGCAGGTGTGCAGGGCCTTGGGAGGTCGGGAATGCTTCCCAAAAACCCCCAGTAGGAAGGGTTTGCCCAGCTCTCACTGGCTTCAGTGCTTGGCTGGAGGCTGTGGATGAGCCGAGCTGGGCCTGGGGCTTGTCCTCGCCCCTGTCACCCCTGTGCTGGCTCTGTGTCACCCTTGGCAGCGTTCAGTGCAGGCAGGGAGCAGGGGAAGGCTGTGATGAGGAGGTGCTGTCCTCCTTCCAGCCGGCACAGTCTCTGTGTCCGAGGGGCTCTCGGGGCTGGGATGCCCTGGCCGAGGCCCTGAGCAGCACAACATGCAGCACATGAGCAATTCCAGCTGCAGTCACATGCTCTCAGTTAAACCACATGCTGCAGTGTGTTCTGGATGGGAGCTGGTGCTCTTCCCAGGGCTGGGAGAAGGCTCACAACTCCATCATGGGGGAAGAATGGGGACCAGGGATGGATTTGGGGCATCCAGCTTGGTGTGGGTGGGGCATTGTGGGCAGGGCTCAGGTGCTGRGCAGCAGTTGTTTGCTAGAAGAAAACTTGGTCTGGATTCTCCTGGATCCTCGAGTGGCAATGACAAGCTACAGGCAGTGGTGTTGGCTTTGGGTAGAGTTAATTAAACCTGACCCACTGGGGGTGAGCTAGGCCCTTCCTAAAATAAGTGTGTCACCTTGCAGAGAGCTCCCAGTCCTTGTGCTACAAAGGGAATTGGACACTGCTGGGAAGAAGGACCAGTGATACTGATATGAAATAGAGATATAAAATGAAAGTCTCAGCAAATATTCCTGTATATATTCACTGGTTTGTTCAGTGGCAAAGTTGGTCATTTCATGGCTCTGTGTTCACAGTGAGCCAGTGAAAAACGAGTGCATCAACTTGACTCCAGACAAGTGCAGGGACTACCAATGGAGACCAATGTGGGATGAGCACAGTGCTATCCCATAAATGCTTGCAATATTTACAGTTGGCTCCAAAGCCCACTGAGCAAAAAGGGAGCTTTTTGTTCTTTTCAGTGGGCTGGGGATGGGGCTGTGGAAGCTCACGTGGAAAGTCCATTTGGAACCCTTTTCCCAGGTCTCACATTTGCTGGTAGATCTGTCAGGGTCCATCACTGCCCCATCCTGGGGGTTCAGAGCCCCAGTTTGGCTTTGGCAATCCAGTTACCAGTGCCTTAAACCAGTTCAGCATTTATGGCTCCTTTCCAGCGTGGGCTGGGGCTGCAGTGAGAGCTGTGAGTGGGCTCCTTCCCACCTGCAGGTTTGGTAAAGCAGCTCATGCCTGAATTCCTTCTGAGCAGCCCAGACCCGTGTCAGGATGAGAGCCTGGATGGAGGAGGCAGCCAAAGGCTCTGCTGAGGTCACTGCTGCTGTCCTGGGTGAGCATGGCACTGGCACGTGGTGATGTCCGTGCTGGTGGCCAGACAGGAGCTCAGACCGATGCCCACCCTGCCACTCCCAGATTCTCAAAGCAAACAAAACCTTCCCAGGCCTCCCTGCCTGGTATCCCAGGGGAGATGATCTGCCTGTGCCGGCACAAAGCAGCCATGGGTGGTTGTTCAGCAAGCCCCGGGCTGAGATCAGCCTTTGGGGTGGGCTTTTTTCACGTGGTTTTCCTTCCTGTGCTTGGTGCTGCATCTTTTTAACTGCGGTTAACCCGAGCAGCTGGATCCCACAGCAGAGACSTGACCCTGCTGTGCGTGTGATGCCAGATTCTCTTGGGAGAAAAAGAGGGAGAGGGGCTGCTTTGGGTGGGGTGAGGGTGGTGGAGAAATCCCACAGGGATTTGGGGCCAGCCTCAGTGCCTGAGGTGAGGGACTTGCCCTGGGTTTTCCCAGCGAGCCACCACCAAAGAAGGGTCCAGTTCCCTTTTGTGACTGCCTCGGGGACCTTGTGCAGGCAAACATCTGAGGGACTGGCAGGTGAACGGTGACTTCAGCACAGAAATCCCCAAATGTCACTGGTGGCCAAAGGGGATTCCTGGTTCTGCCTCACACAACAACCTCCCCCTGACAGAGTAATTYTGAGTAGAGAAAAACCCACTCCTGGCTTGAGCTGTAAAATCAAAAGCTGGAAAAAAMCATTTAACAGTTCCTCATTCATCTCTTCCCCCTCTGTCTGATGCAGTTTGTCAGATGAAGATGTGATCGCTCTTGTGGTTTCCTTTTGAGACATTTTTTTGCCCAGCCAAACAGAGTCGATATTCATGACGGACGCCTGCAGAATCATGAGCTCCTTTCTCTGTGACTGCCCGTGCCAGCCAGACTTTCGAGTGGCCACTCAGCTTTGCAGGGCAATTGTTCATTCAGCATAGGCTTAGGTTTGGCTTTTAAAAGCCATTTCGGGGCTCTCAGAGRAGAGTTCCAGGACTGCTCTGGCGTTTCAGGAGCTCACAGCAATGCTCACAGTCATTAGCATGATCTGAGCTGCTTCAGAGTTTGGTCCTGACCACTTCTCAGAAGGGTCATCAGATTTCTGTCTTAATTTTCTCTTTCTGTGGGCTGTGGATTAAAGGCAGAACTTAAACTTTGCATTTTGGTAATGGAATTATAGAGAGCTTTGCTTCATCTGAGCTTGAAATGGTTTTAAATTGTCATGTTGCTGTGATCTCTGGTTTCAAGCACTGCTGGTGTGCCATGTGCTCAGATTGCAGGAGGAGATTAGGAGCCTTGAATGGACGCTGTGTCTCAGCCAGCATCTCTTACCACATCAGAAAAAAGTAATTCAGGAAAAATCAGTCATGTGGTCATTGATATCATCCTCCCAAGCTGATCAGCCTGGTGGGCATGGCCCTGAAGCTGTTACAGCCAGCATCAGACCACCTCTTTCCGTGCCAGAAACCACACCATCCCTTCATGGTCATCTCCATGGTCCCGTGGGAGATCTGGCMGTGCTTCAAGCAGATCTTTGCTCCTCACAGCCTCCAGTAAACGATGCAGAACTGTGCTGGAAACTTCCCTGTGACTGACAACTGTGAAGATAAACTGCAGAGGGAGCTGGGATCTGATTCCCCAGGGTCTTTAGCTGGGTTGGGACCCTGTGCCGAGGGTCCCACTCCTCCCTGAACGGGGAATCTGTGCCAGCCCGTGCCTGGTGCAGCACAGGGGCTTAGAGGGGCTTAGGGAAACTCTCGRTGCTAAGCAGGATTTGGCCTCTGCTAATTTGACCTTAATTGTTTTCCCTTCTCGTTTGGTGGCCCATCCTTCACTCGCTGGGCTCCAGGAGAGGAGGGAGCTGAGCACGGAGTTTGGCTCCTGGAGAGGTGAGGGATCACCCAGAGGTCGRTGCTGCCTCTCTGCACGTGTGGGTTGTGCCCAGCTCCCCTGATCAGGACCCACAGCAGAGGAAATGAGCTCTGGATGGTTTTTCCTCATTCACTGCAGTTCCTCAGTGCTGACATTAACGGGTCGTGTAATCAGAGCGGGGTTCTGCGGGTTCTCCCCCAACCCCACACCTTCTGGTGATGCTTTTTATGGGTCCCAAATCCAAGTGCAGCACCTCAGCAGTGGAAACATCTCACCTTAAAATGGCTGACAGCTCACACCCAAGTGCTCAGCTCGTGCTCTCCTGTGTTTTTTGCTYTTTGTTTTCCTTGCCTGGCTCTGCTCAGGCTGAGAGGTGCCCCAAAACACGTTTTAGGTGCTTGCTGGAAAATGGAGTGTCCTACGAAGGCTCCTTTGCAAATCCTCYGAGGTGCTGCTCAGGCCCATAAAATCTCGCTCACAGTGGTAAATCTGACCTTGTGTTTTCTCTCTCGAGCCTCTGATGAGCTGGTTGGGGGTTTGAACTGCTGTGGTTTGTGGAGGTGATTGAGAAAACGCACTTGTTTTGGATGAACTTTGAAAAACACGGGGGGGATTTATTTCCCTGCCCACATTTATTTCATCTGCCCACATTTTCCTAAAATAAAAGCACTTTTTCATCTATACTTAGAAAGACAACACTAAATCTAGTCTCATTAAAATGTTTCACAGGCACCAGTGGGGTTTTTAAGAAAAACCATAACATTACAATCCTGGGGCGAGGGAGAGAAAACCCATGGAAAGGCACGTTTTGGCAGGAATATTTCAGCCAGTGCTGATGTTTGGAGMTCATCTATCAAATGTGTGCGCTTGGAGTTTGTTGCTACTTTGACCTCCCAAGGAAAAGCTGTGTGTCCCATGTTCTGTACATTGAAATGTGGTTGTGGGGGCTTCATGGGTTGAGCCACTTGGGTTGGCTGGCAGCAGGAAAGACTCCTTGCTTTCCAAAATCCGTTGGAATTGGAAGTTAATTTTTTTAGAAAAGAAACAGTAACAGCCCCAGCTGTGCAGAGCTAGTGCAGGCACCAGACACCTGTGTCTGCACATCCTAAATTTTACAGGAGCTTTGCCTCACCCGCCAAAGCTCTGGGCTCCCAAAAGCACGGAGAAGGCTGTTCATCCTGGAGAGCTGAGYGGAACTTCTCCGAGAAGCTGAGTACAAGTTTGCTGGCCTGCCAAAGAAGTAATCGCGTGGCATCAGAGGTTCTCAATTATTCATGTTTTCCAGAATCGCATTATTTCTTCCAGGGCCCGTTTTATAAATGCTGCTGCTATTTCTGATGGTAAATAACAATTTTGCATTATTTATGAACAGACTTTTACAACTGCTGATGTTACAGCTGCTGCCAAAGCTCTGGGAAAAAAAACTATTAGTGCTGTTTGTTGTTTTTTCTTCCTTACGCACAGCTCCTCTTGTTGTGTACATGATGATGGTGATGGTGATGGTGATGATGGTGATGGTGATGATGGTGGTGATGGGGATGATGATGATGGTAATGATGATGATGGTGATGATGATGATGGTGATGATGATGATGGTGATGGTAATGGTGATGATGGTGATGATGGTGATGGTGATGGTGATGATGGTGATGATGGTGATGGTGATGGTGATGATGGTGGTGATGGTGATGATGGTGATAGTGATGGTGATGATTCTGATGATGATGATGATGATGATGATGATGGTGATGATGGTAATGATGATGATGGTGGTGGTGATGATTCTGATTCTGATGCTGATGATGGTGGTGATGGTGATGATGGTGATGATGGTAATGATGATGTGCCATCCCAAGTGCTCCCCAAGTGCTGCACCAGCAAGGAGCAGGGTGCAGGTGCCAGGGGGTGGCTTGGTGGCCCCTGAGCTCGTGGCTGGTGCTCAGGGTTGACCTGAGCCAGGGGCACATATGGGACAGGACCCCAGGCCGTGGTTCAATTCCAAGAGGAGGAAGAGGAGGAGTTRCCTGTCCCTGTGTTATGTTTTAAGGAGTTGTTGGAGCTTTGGGCAGGGTTTGTCCACCGTGGGCTCTGCTCTGTTTCCCTCACTCCGTGCCCTGGCTCCCTGGGAAGCTGCAGGGCTGCAGGRGGTGRCACAGGWGACTCAGGTGACACGGGTGACTCAGGTGACACGGGTGACTGTGAGAGCCACCAGCTGGGTTTCATCCTGTGGCTCCCTGGCTTCTGCTTTGCTGTCACCTGTCCCTGTCTCATGCCCGTCGTGTCGCGCTGTTCCTGCCGGTGCTGCAGGAGCCGATCGTGCCCCGTTCCCGTCCCCAGCTGCTCCCGGGGGAGCTGGAGGATCCTCTTATCTCTGCAGCCACATCCCCGGCCTCCAGCTGTGTCCTGAGAGGCAGCAGGGCCGCCTGCAGGGCTGTGGGAGCCRGCAATGGCAGACAGGGATGAGATCAGAGTTCTCAGCGTGATGGAGATGTGCCTGCACTCCCCGCTCCCCTCCCTGCTCACAGCCCTTCCCAGGAGCGGGATCCGGAGCGGATCGTGCTGCAGCTGATCCCGCAGCTTCCCCTGCTGCTCTGCTGCCAGGAGATAAGGGAATTACTGCAGGGCATTGCCTGCAGGGCTGTGACACCCTCTGGTTCCAGTGCTGGCACCTGGGCAGCCCCCAGCAGCCCTTCTGCCCCTGCCAGGACCCAGACCGGGTCACGGGATAAGGGATGTGGGAGCTGCATCCTTCAGCCCCTCTAAACCGGCTGGAAAATGTCCCCGTTCCTCCCAGGACAGCCTGTGCCCCAGGGAGCTGCTCCCCTGTCCCCACAATGTCTCATGTCCCCTCTCCAGGATTCCAGCCCTTCCCTGCTCACATATCCCCATCCCTGCCTTCCTCCCTGCTCCCARGAGCACCAGGGGGTTTGTGGAGCACAGCCTGAGCGCAGAGAGCAGCACGAGCACCAAGACTCCGCAGGGACCTGCCCCGTCTGTTTATTTTTTCCCTCCTCAGCCTGTCTGGAGAAGAACATCCTTAAAATTCTCCAGGCAGCAAGGCTGGGGAAGGCAGGAGGAGGTTCCTTCTCTCAGGGCAGGATCAGCCAGGTACCATCCAGCAGCTGACCAAGGAGAGCCGGGATGCGTCTCACAAGGGCCGCGTTGCCATGGAGGCGAGGACGGGGCTGAATCTGGTGACGTGGCTGCTGCAAAACAGAGTTAAAGACAAAACAGCAGCGAGCTGTGTTCTGTCCTTCCTCCTGCAGATCTTCTCCATCGTGGTGTTCGGCTCCATCATCAACGAGTGCTATGTGAACAAGGACAGCCAGCACCCCGAGCTGCTCTGCATCTTCAACGAGAATGAGAGCGCCTGCAGCTACGGCATYGCCGTGGGCGTCATCGCCTTCTTCGGCTGCATCTTCTTCTTCGTGGTGGACCTGTACTTCCAGCAGATCAGCAGCGTCAAGGACCGCAAACGGGCCGTGCTGCTGGACCTCGGCTTTTCAGGTACCTCTGCCCTGCCCTGCCTGSCTCTGGCTCCGTGAGRTCATTGCTGTGCTCAGYCCCTCTCCTCCCCGCTCCTCCYGTGGCCTGACACRAYGCTRTGGGGACACCAGGGGTGGCAGGGGRGTTGTCCCATCAGCCACGGGCTCGGTGAGCCCTGAGGAAGCCACACGTGGTGGCTGGGGACAGTGGCRTGTCCCACTCGTCTGTGTCACTGTGTGCTGGGTTTGGTGGGGCCACCCTCAGCAGAGCTGAGGTTTGCTGGTCACAGCTCAGACCTGACGGGGCTTTCACCCTCCCACACCYCCTGCTCTGGCTCAGGAAAAGCAAMGKTGGTTTCCTCAGCTGCCTCGGGGCTGGTTTCACTTTGTGCACGAGTTTGRAGCAGAGCAGGAGCAGCTCCTGTGCCACTGGGGCTGCCCACGGATCCGCTGTGCCCCTTGAGCCATATCCTGAGGCTCCTCCGTGGTGGCTGGAACGGGTGGGATGCTCCAGGATGGGAGAGACAGGCTCCTCGGTGCTGAGGGAGCTGCTGGAGCAGCTGCAGCTCTGTCAGCCCAGTCTGAGGGTGATTTAGC